CTAGAGGAGCAAGATCAAAAAAACTCAAAACCTAGCAGAAGACAGGAAATAACTAAGATCAGAGCAGAACTGAAGGAAATAGAGACACAAAAAACTCTTCAAAAAATCAATAAATCCAAGAGCTGGTTCTTTGAAAAGATCAACAAAATAGACAGACCACTAGCCAGATTAATAAAAAAGAAAAGAGAGAATAACCAAATTGATGCAATAAAAAACGATAAAGGGTGGCCGGGCGCAGTGGCTCAAGCCTGTAATCCCAGCACTTTGGGAGGCCGAGGCGGGTGGATCACAAGGTCGAGAGATCGAGACCATCCTGGTCAACATGGTGAAACCCCGTCTCTACTAAAGATACAAAAAATTAGCTGGGCATGGTGGCACGTGCCTGTAATCCCAGCTACTCAGGAGGCTGAGGCAGGAGAATTGCCTGAACCCAGGAGGCGGAGGTTGCGGTGAGCCGAGATCGTGCCATTGCACTCCAGCCTGGGTAACAAGAGCGAAACTCCGTCTCAAAAAAAAAAACGATAAAGGGGATATCACCACAGATTCCACAGAAATCCAAACCATCATCAGAGATTATTACAAACAACTCTATGCACATAAACTAGTAAACCTGGAAGAAATGGATAAATTCCTGGACACCTGCAACCTCCCAAGCCTATACCTGGAAGAAGCCGAAACCCTGAATAGAACAATAACATGGTCTGAAGTCGAGGCAGCAATAAAGAGCCTACCACCCAAAAAAAGCCCAGGTCCAGACGGGTTCACAGCTGAATTCTACCAGACATACAAAGAGGAGCTGATACCATTCCTTCTGAAACTATTCCAGACAATCCAAAAAGAGGGAATTCTTCCCAAATCATTTTACGAGACAAACATCATCCTGATACCAAAACTCGGCAGAGACTCAACAAGAAAAGAAAATTTCAGGCCAATATCCATGATGAACATAGATGCAAAAATCTTCAATAAAATACTGGCAAACCGATTGCAACAGCATATCAAAAAGCTCATCCACCATGATCAAGTAGGATTCATCCCGGGGATGCAAGGATGGTTCAACATACGCAAGTCCATAAACGTAATTCACCACATAAACAGAACCAAAGACAAAAACCACATGATTATCTCAATTGATGCAGAGAAGGCTTTTGACAAAATTCAACAACCCTTTATGCTAAAAACCCTCAATAAACTAGGTATTGACGGAACGTATCTCAAAACAATAAAAGCTATTTACGACAAACCAACAGCCAATATCATACTGAATGGGCAAAAACTGGAAGCATTCCCTTTGAAATCTGGCACTAGACAAGGATGCCCTCTCTCACCACTCCTATTCAATATAGTACTGGAAGTTCTAGCCAGAGCAATCAGGCAAGAAAAAGAAATAAAGGGTATCCAAATTGGAAAGGAGGAAATCAAATTGTCTCTATTTGCAGAAGACATGATTGTATATCTGGAAGACCCCATCATCTCAGCCCAAAATCTCCTGAAACTGATAAACAACTTCAGCAAAGTCTCAGGATACAAAATCAACGTGCAAAAATCACAAGCATTCCTATACACCAGTAATAGACTTCAAGAGAGCCAAATCAAGAACGAACTGCCATTCACAATTGCTACAAAGAGAATAAAGTACCTAGGAATACAACTAACAAGGAACGTAAAGGACCTCTTCAAGGAGAACTACAAGCCATTGCTCAACGAAATCAGAGAGGATACAAACAGATGGAGAAACATTCCATGTTCATGGTTAGGAAGAATCAACATCGTGAAAATGGCCATACTGCCCAAAGTAATTTACAGATTCAATGCTATTCCCATCAAGCTACCAATGACCTTCTTCACAGAACTGGAAAAAAACACCTTAAGCTTCATATGGAACTGAAAGAGAGCCCGCATAGCCAAGTCAATTCTAAGCAAAAAGAACAAAGCAGGAGGCATCACACTACTGGACTTCAAACTATACTACAAGGCTACAGTAATCAAAACAGCATGGTACTGGTACCAAAACAGAGATATAGACCAATGGAACAGAACAGAGGCCTCAGAGGAAATACAACATACCCACAACCATCTGATCTTCGACAAACCTGACAAAAACAAGCAATGGGGAAAGGACTCCCTGTTTAATAAATGGTGTTGGGAAAACTGGCTAGCCATGTGCAGAAAGCAGAAACAGGACCCCTTCCTGACACCTTACACCAAAACTACCTCCAGATGGATTAAAGACTTAAACATCAGACCTAATACCATAAAAACCTTAGAAGAAAATCTAGGCAAAACCATTCAGGACATAGGTGTAGGCAAGGACTTCATGACCAAAACGCCAAAAGCAATGGCAACAAAAGCCAAAATAGACAAATGGGACCTAATCAAAATCCACAGCTTTTGCACGGCAAAAGAAACAGTCAGTAGAGTGAATCGGCAACCAACAGAATGGGAAAAAATTTTTGCAGCCTACCCATCTGACAAGGGGCTGATATCCAGAATTTACAAAGAACTAAAGCAGATCTACAAGAAAAAAACAAACAAGCCTATTCAAAAATGGGCGAAGGATATGAACAGATACTTTACAAAAGAAGACATACAAGAGGCCAACAAACATATGAAAAAATGCTCATCATCACTGGTCATCAGAGAAATGCAAATCAAAACCACATTGAGATACCATCTCACACCAGTTAGAATGGCGACTATTAAAAAATCAGGAAACAACAGATGCTGGAGAGGATGTGGAGAAATAGGAACACTTTTACACTGTTGGTGGGAATGTAAATTAATTCAACCATTGTGGAAGACAGTGTGGCGATTCCTCAAGGACCTAAAAATAGAAATCCCATTTGACCCAGCAATCCCATTACTGGGTATATATCCAAAGGATTATAAATCATTCTACTACAAGGACACGTGCACACGAATGTTCATTGCAGCACTGTTTACAATAGCAAAGACCTGGAACCAACCCAAATGCCCAACGATGGTAGACTGGATAGGGAAAATGTGGTACATATACACCATGGAATATTACGCAGCCATCAAAAACGATGAGTTCACGTCCTTTGCAGGGACATGGACGAACCTGGAAACCATCATTCTCAGCAAACTGACACAAGAGCAGAAAATCAAACACTGTATATTCTCATTCATAGGTGGGTGTTGAACAATGAGAACACATGGACACAGGGAGGGGAGCACTACACACTGGGGTCCGTTGGGGGGAAATGGGGGAGGGGCAGGGGGGTGGGGAGGTGGGAAGAGATAGCATGGGGAGAAATGACAGATACAGGTGAGGGGACGGAAGGCAGCAAACCACACTGCCAAGTGTGTACCTATGCAACAATCTTGCATGTTCATCACATGTACCCCAAAACCTAAAATGCAATTAAAAAAAAAAAAGAAAAAAGAAATGAATGTGTGGTTTAACAAGCAGACCTCATTAATTTTCCTCACAAAGGCATTAATGCTATCACATGACATCATTAACACTATGTTCTATGGTCTAGGGCCTCCCTATGTTTAAAAAACTGCCCTAAGATCAGCAGCACCTAATAGTTATACACAGGAATAAAAAAGTATAAATGTAACAAACAAAGGCAATTATACATACAGAATCTTCAGTGGCTACTGGAGTTTTCATTCAACAAATATTATCATCTGTCAGCTACAAAAGCATAATATCAGGGGTGCAGAAGGAAAAGCGCTTTCACAGAACAGTAGGGACCAGGCACAGTGGCTCATGCCTGTAATCCCAGCACTTTGGGAGGCGGAGGCGGATCGATCACCTGATGTCAGGAGTTCATGACCAGCCTGGCCAAAATAGTGAAACTCTTGTCTCTATTAAAAATACAAAAAATTAGCCAGGTATGGTGGCGGGCACCTGTAATCCCAGCTACTCGGGAGGCTGAGGCAGGAGAATCGCTTGAAGCCAGGAGGCAAAGGTTGCAGTGGGCCGAGATCACGCTGTTGCACTCCAGCCTAGGTAACAAGAGCGAAACTCTGTCTTAAAAAAAAAAAAAACAGTGGCGGTTATATTTAAGATTGAAACTGAAACACCCAGTGACCAGAAAGATAAGGTGGATAAATGAAGCCAACTGGGTCTCAGCTGTGGGGATGAGAGCAAACAGGAGAATGGATATCCTGCCTCCAGGGAGACAGCCATGGCTCAGCTGCAGCTGATTACCGCCATGAATGAATGCAAGCCAAAGGGCAACCAGATTTTCTGATTTTTCAAGAGAAATAAACAATCTTTTAATTTTAAAGGTTGGCAGAAAATTTAAAAATTTTAAAACAACATAAGGTCTGGGTATGGTGCTTCATGCCTGTAATCCCAGCACTTTAAGAGGCTAAGGCGGGTGGATAGCTTGAGGTGCCAGGAGTTCAAGACCAGCCTAAGCAACTGAGCGGGATCGCCATCACTATAAAAAAACAAAAAATATTAGCAAGGCATGATGGTGTGTGCCTATGGCCCCAGCTACTTAGGAGGCTGAGGTGGGAGGATCACCTGAGCCCATGAGTTCAAAGCTGCAGTGAGCTATAACTGTGTCATTGCACTCCAGCCTGGGTGATGGAGTAAGACCCTGCCTCCAAAAAAAAAAAATTTTTTTTAATCACATGAGCTACATATCTCCCTGCAGAATCCAGCCTATGAGACATTAATTAGTTTGTGATATCTGACAGCGATAAACTAATGTGGCAATTTAATCAAGATTTCTATGGATCTTAGTCTCAAAAACATACTTGATTGGATATTATTTCATTTTAAAAGTTATATCATATTTTATTCCCCATTGTGAAAATGAAGTTTGTAGTTTTCAAAAATCTCTGAAGCATAACAGAAGATTTTATGAAATTTTACCTTCTTGTATATGCTCAATATAATAAGAAGGAGAAAAGCTTGTACAACAAAACAGAAAAAAAGGATAAAGACTGGAAAATATTCTAATTTAGGATGGAAAGAGGAGAAAAAGCCACAAAATATACAAAGCCAATCCAGTTACCTGCACTATCACTCCGCAAGGGTTTTCCCCCCACTGGCAAGGATGCCTTAGTCACTACCCTCTTACTGTAGATTCCTTCCTTATGTTTAATGTTAACAGTGGCTGAGACGTCATCATCTCTCGTGCCTAGCACCTGTGCTGGGAAGTCCGGAGCAACGGCATCATTGGATCCTACAGAAGAATGGGAAAGTAACATAATTAACACAAAGATGGACATGATACTGAGAAAGACTTTTTTAAAAATTTGCCTTTTAGACCAATTCTATGAAAAAAGCACTACAATGGGTAGGATAATCAGAAGGAAATGTCAGTCAAACTGAAGTTTTAAGCTACATAACATAAATTCTAATAAAACAAGGCAGAGATGCAAATGATATGAGAAGACATAAAATGGAGAATCAGTTCAGGAGAGAGAATATTTCCAGCTCACCATGGTTTTGGAGGTAGGAGAAAATGAATTGTACCCTGGAAAAAAAGTTTTTTGATATGGAGAGGAAGGAAGAAAGGCATTTTGGGCAGAAGTTACAGCATAAGCAAAGACAATAAGTATTTAAGAATAGTGGACACTATACAGTCAGGCTGGATTACAGAATACATTAAGGAGAGTGGTAGGAGATATTAAAAAATAATGGTTTGGAATAAATTCAGCAGTACATGGGATCCCAAGTTGAAGAGTATAAACTTTATTGTATATGAAATGCAACACAATGGAAGATTTTTAAATAAAAGAATAATATAATTAGCTATGCTTCCAGAAGATTAATCTGACAACAATACAAAAGACAAAACACTGAAAGGAAAATGATAGATGATAAGTAAAAGATTTGAAAGTATTTAATTTTCTTTTAGAATATATTTCAACATTCCTACATTCCTTGATAAAATAATCCATAATCCATGCCACATGTAACAGGCAAAAGAACATTTCTGGACATATAAAGGTTTATACTAACTACAGAATTATCTTCTATGATAAGATTTTTTTTTCCTCCTAATATCCTGTATTTCCTGAGCTCCTAGTATGTGTATGGCAATAAGAGCTGGGTAAGTACCAGTCTCATCAGTTTAGTGCACAGTAAGCCATGAAGAGTTTTTCAGGACAGATTGCAAGGATAATACCAAGCCTTCTAGGCCAAATAAACAGATTATATTGGTCTCTTCTCAACTTCTGTAACATCACTTTCTCTTATTTGCCTCCTACCTCTCTGGAAACTTATTATCTTTTCTTATACCAAATCTCTTAATACTGGAGTTCTTCAAGGAGTCAGAACTGGTCTCTCTTCTCTTCCTAGATAAACTTATCGACCACCAACGTATATGCTGATGAACAAATAATATACCATTGGTCAAGACCTTTCTTCTGAGCATCTGACTCTAGCATTCAGGGACACAGCTAGCTCTTACAGCATTTTTATGGAAATCAGAAAAAGATGTCTCTTCCTCAAATAAAAATGTTTAAGTTACCGATACATTGTGGTACAACACAACTGTAAATGGTGGTCATTCTCTTCACAAATCCTCCTAGGGAGTACACACCAGCAGCAGCATGCACACGCACACTCTGCACCACCATCCTTGTTCTCCAAGAGAGGTGGCTCTGTCAAGTTCAGTCAGGTGAGGAACAATTACATCTCTGAGAGCAGTGGGTGACCAAGCAAGAGAATCAACCTCAGAGGAGGTGACGGGCAGCTGAGAGAGAGTGCAGCCACATGTATGTGTGTCAGTGAATGTAGGTGTACTGATTTTCCTGTACCTGTGCATAGCTATAATATGTGCAAGTATAGATTTATGTTTGGGGCAACACAAGAGTTAACATTATTGCTCCAGAACTCTAACTAAAGATCTGGGGTATTCATGCACATCTGTGTGTTTTCATAAAAGTATATATTTATAATGTGAATAGTGTCACCTTATATTTGGCATGCGTTGCACACAAACTTAACGTGTAAATCAACTCTGACTACATTCAATTGCAGAACTAACATCTCTATGTGGGTGTATAACAAGAATCTCTCTTTTATTTTTTTTGAGACTGAGTCTTGCTCTGTCGCCAGGCTTGAGTGCAGTGGCATGATCTCAGCTCACTGCAACCTCCACCTCTAGGGTTTAAGTGATTCTCCTGCCTCAGCCTACCAAGTAGCTGGGACTACAGGCATGCACCACCACACCCAGCTAATTTTTGTATTTTTAGTAGAGATGGGGTTTCACCATGTTGGCCAGGATGGTCTTGATCTCTTGACCTCGTGATACACCCACCTCGGCCCTTCAACGTGTTGGGATTACAGGCGTGAGCCACTGCGCCCAGCCAGAATCTCATTTTTAACATGAGATATTTTGATCATCTTCCCCAAATCTGTTTCTTCCTCAATCTCCAACTCAGCAAACAGAACCTCTATTCACCTAGTTGCTCACTCCAGACATTTTTTTTCATGCTCTTCTCCCTCACTCTCCATACTCTATCATCAAATCTAGGAGAAACTGTTTCTAAAAGGAAGTTGACTATCCATTTCTCCCTATCTCTATTGATAATACGAATACTGATGCTACCTACCATCTCCGGTACCGTCTACAGCAACAGATTTCTAACTAACTGGTGTCTCTACTTGCACTTTAACCCGCCCCCACATGGCTCTCTGCCTTCCCATTTATAAACCATTTCTCCACATCGTGGCAAGAATAAACGTTACAAGTGTAAATCAACCATAACTTTCAGTAGTACTAGAATAAAACCCAAACATTTTAATACAGTTGATAAGCTCCTGCATGATCTTGAACCTACCTAGCCCACTATGCTCTACCTTGTTAAATAAAACTTATGGGAGTCCATTGTTTTAGAATGAGATCCCGCACTAGACCCCAACAGACCAAACCAAAATGTAGTCACTTGTGCCATACAACCAAACTGAAACTTTAAGAAAGAAGGCAAGTCCCAAAATGGGCCAGTTAAACAAGAGATTCACAGCAACTAATTTAAAAAGGGGGCAGTTTACCCTGAGCTGGCCTAAAAAGGAACTTCTCTCTGCTTTAATCTTTACCAGGAAAGTTACCTGAAGTAACTTTATGTTGATCAATAAGCTTTTTTTGGTATTACAGATGACCCACCACTTAAAATGGAGTTATATCCTGTTAAGTCCATCATAAGTTGAAAATACTGTTAGTCAAAAATGTATTTAATGCCCCTAACCTACCAAGCATCATAGCTTAGCCCAGACTACTTTAAACATATTCAGAACACTTACAATAGCCTACAAGTGGGCAAAATCATCTAACAGGAAGCCCATTTTATAATACAGTATCAAATAGCTCATATAGTTTATTAAACACCATACTGAAGTATGGTTTCTACTACATGTGTATCACTTCCATGCCATCATAAAGTCAAAAAATAGTTAGGTGGAACCATTGTACATTGGGGACTGTTTGTATTGTGTTTCCTTGTTCCTGGTCTGGCTACCTTATCAGAACCAACCGCTCTGCCATGCCCAATGTACCTTTTCTATATTATAGAATGAGATGTTGCCTGATTCATGAATCACTATGAAAACCAATTAGATCTTTAAATTTGTTGAAATTTCAATCCGTGCTGCCTTCTTTCCATTTGTGAAATGCATCAAGCTCTTTTCTGCTTCAGGGGTTTTTCCCATCCTGTTCTCTCTGGCCAGAACAGTCTCACACTCCACCCTTTGCCTACCTAACTCATCCTTATCCCTCTGGAGTTCAGCTCAAAAGTTTCTTCCTTGAAAAGGCCTTCATAAGTTTGTAAAACAAAATTGGGTCTACTTGTTTATCTTGGACACTTTTATTTTCTTAGCATTTATCATTTGTAATTATGCACTTATTTGTGGTTTATTTAATATCTGTTACCCAACGTGAACATAAACTCCATGATAGTTTATTTTGAGCAATACTGAAATTGTAACACCTACCACAGTATATCTGATTGGAACACAGTAACATCTTTAATACCTATTGTTTGAATAAACACATGAACATGAGCTGACAGCTTCCTATCATTAAAAAAATTTTTTAAAAACCTGATCATTGTAGAAAATTCAGGAAAGTATGAAGGAAACAATAAAAAATAAAACAACTAAACCTTGGTTATATATCCTACTAAGTGAACATATACAGGAATTATTACTATTTTTTCACTAAAGTAGAGATATATTTTAAATGAAATTTAGGGTTTAAAGTCAGCATATGAGGTGAAATCCTTGTCATAGAGGGTCAAAATCACCCTTGAAGCTATCTTAGGAAGGCATATGCTGAAACTGACATCCTGTCTGCTCAAGAGACCCACTAGGGTCCACTTTTTCCTCCAGGCTTGCAACATATCACTGCGCCTGAATCTGACCACCTGATGATGTACCTGATATTGTACCAAAAAGACATTTCTTCGAACTCAAGAATCACACCCAGGCAAGCCAGACAAGATCTCTCCTTTTTTGTTAAATATATGTATTTGAACTTAAGTTAAATACATGTATGAGACAATATCAATGTATGCTAAAATTATTTATCATAGCTAAAGACATTTCACTGAATTATACTCATCTGATTTAATTGTTTATGCTATCTTAAAGTTTCCTAGTTTCTTGTTCTATTATTTTGCTAGTTTCATATACTCAACAGTGATTTGGAAGATGGATTTCTACTTTTAAAATTCAATTAAGTTTTTTTTTTGGTAACTTCTTAAGTTTTTTAACTGTGGTAAAACATACATAAAACATAATCATGACTGGTGCAGTGGCTCACACCTATAATCCCAGCACTTTGGGAGGCTGAGGTGGGCAGATCACTTTAGTTCAGGAGTTCGAGACCTGCCTGGCCAACATGGTGAAACCCCATCTCTGCTAAAAATACAAAAGTTAGCTGGGCATGGTAGCAGATGCCTGTAATCCCAGCTATTCAGGAAGCTGAGGCAGGAGAACTGCTTAAATCTGGGAGGTGGAGGCTGCAGTGTCACTAATGACATCCTGACATCCTGTCTGCTCAAGAGACCTACTAGGGTCCACTTTTTCCTGTACTCCAGCCTAGGTGACAAAGCAAGACTCCATCTCAAAAAAAAACAAACCACAAAACAAAGTAACCATTTTTAAGTGTACAGTGTAGTGGCATTAAGTATATTCACACTGTTATGCAACCATCACCACCATCTATTCTAATCTTCCCAGACTTAAACTCTGTACCAATTAAACAATAACTTTCTACTCTCCCTACCCCCTGCCCCTGGTAAACACAGTTCTACTTTCTGTCTCTATGCATCTGACTTTTCTGGGTACCTTATATAAGTAAAATTACACATTATTTGTCCTTTTCTGACTGGCTTATTTCGCTTGGCCTAATGTCTTCAGAGTTCATCCATATTGTAGCATGTATTAGAATTTCATTCCTCTTTAAGGCTGAGTAATACTCTATTGCACATATACATCACATTTTGTTTATCCATTCATAAATCAATAGACATTTGGGTTGTTTCCACCTCTTGGCCATTGTGTTATTGGGTGTATGAATAGCTCCTCAAGATCCTACTTTCACTTAGTTGGGGTATATATTTAAAAGTGGAATTACTGGATCATACTATAATTCTATGTTTATTTTTTTTGAGGAACAGCCACTATGTTTTTCCTATTGGCTATACCATTTTACATTCCCGCCAGCAAAAAGCAAGGGTTCTGAGTTCTCCACGTCCCTGGCAACACTGATAATGTTCCATTCTGTTTGTTTTTTAAAATAAGTAATTCTAATGGATATGAAGTGGTATCTTACTGTGGTTTTGGGGTGGTATTTCACTCATGATTAACAACGTAGAGAAGATTTTCATGTGCTTATTGGCTATTTGCACGTCTTCCTTAGAGAAATGTCCGTCAGATTCTGTGCCCATTTATGGATTAGATTATTTGGGTTATTAAGAGTTCTTTACATATTCTAAATATTAATCCCTCATCAGATAAATGATTTTCAAGTATTTTCTCCTGTGATTCACCTTTTCATTCTGCTGACTGTATTTTGTGTACAGAAGTTTTGAATACTGATAAAGTCTAACATACATTTTTTTGTTTCATTGACTGTGTTTTTTTGTTTTTGTTCTTTGAGACATGGTCTCACTCTGTTGCCCAGACTGGAGTGCAGTGGCACAATCAGAGCTCACTGCAGCTCTAAACTTCGAGGTTCAAGTGATACTCATGCCTCAGCTGTTCAAGTAGCTGGGACTACAGGCGTAGGCCATCATGCCTGGCTAACTTTCAATTTTTTGCAGAGACAGGGTCTTGCTATTGCCCAGGTTGATCTCAAACTCCTGGGCTCAGGCAATCCTCCCACCTCGGCCTCCCAAAGTGCTGGTATTATAGGAGTGAGTCATCGCACCTGGCCTGGACATTTAAATAATACAATATAGCAACTCTGGAAATCAGATTTTACTTCCATCCCTGGGTTTGTTGTTGTTGCTTTATGTTGCTTGTTTAATAACTTTTCTCAACTAATTCTGTAAAGTCTATATTCTTTATTAAGTGTGGCCACTGCAGTTACTACTCAATTGGCTTAGCCTGAACAGAGATTTCCTTAAATGCCTAGAACCAATAAATCTCCAGCCTTCATCAAATGGCTCCATGCACATATTGGGTTGTACCTTCAGCACTGACCTAGGCAGCTGTCATCTCTACCATAGCTTTCCCTTTTCTTCTTGTACAGAGCCTCAACATCAGCCAGAGATAACACCTGGACCCTGGGGTCTTTCCCGAGAATACACAGGCCTATGACTGTATGGGATCTCCCAGAGTCTTAGGAATATGTCAGAGCCTTTCAAAGCACCCATCAACCTCTTACCCTTAAGTTTTCCTTTTAAGCTTTTCAGTTAGTGTACTGTTTACCTCAACTGTTAGTCCTCACCTCAGCCATTTTAACATTAAAATATTTACCTATAAATGTTTTTGATAAACATCTTTCCCCCTCTTTCACAAGAGGCCTTTAGAACTGGATGGCTCCCAGTCAGGTCAAGACAAGTTTTCAGTGGAATCTTCCACAGAACCACTAGATAGGTCAAATATCGACAATTCTTTGGGAAGGAAGTTTAAAAAGAGATCCAGCTCCATTTTGCTTCCTTTGGTCTTGGGAACGAAAGCTGTATTTCTTAAGGCTATCACTGAGCTGAGGTATTGGGAATGGGATGACTAGGGCAAGTTAAAATGACAGCGCTTACTGTTCTTAGTGGGATTCAGCCATTTTTCTTGAATAAATACTCCCTGGCTTGCTATTAAGACTGGTTAATTTCCAAACATTTATCTCTTTCTTCGGATGCCTGTTGCCTTGTTTTTTTGTCATTGTTGTTGCTATTTGGATCTTATGAGTTCTATTATTTACTTACTCTCACTGAAAAACAATTATTTGGCCCAAATATTTGCTAACAATGATGTATGTCTTGCTCTTGGCCCCAAATGCTAATTGGCTCCTCTCATAGCTATAGATGTGCAACATATTCACAGATAATGGCTAGGAATTACAACAATTCCTAGGCTTTCATCTAGTATAGGTCTATGGGTCTGAGAAAGGATTGTTTTCTATTCCCAACTTCCTCACTCTCAGAATAGATGGTGAACATGAAAAAAAAAATCTCAAGTCTGTATGGCAACTAGATCTCTTCTTGTCATACTGATGCATACAGTACTTTATTACAGACACTATATTTCTCGGGATACAGTGTGCCACTCCTGAGTCATTTTCTTCTCTCATTACCCACACTGTTCAATCTTTCTCTAAGTTAATCTCTCCAACCAGATGGAAGTGCTAGTGACATATATGGATGGTAGGACAATGGAGGCCTCAGAAAGTATTGGCACACCTAACCAGGTTTCTACTGTTTACAGACATTCTGTCTTTTGAACTATGAGTAAGTGGGATGTAAGATTTTTCTACCTATAATCAATAAGTGAGCTTGTTTTCTTTCTGGTAGCCAATAAGACTGTTTTTAAAACCATAGATTTGCAAGGAGTAAACATTTCTTCATTTATGCAATAAACTTAATCTTAACTTTTGGTGAGTATTTTTGTGGTTCTTTTTCAATGCCATCATTATGGGAGATTAAGCAAGGCTGTGTCAGAGACTTTAATGCAGTTACCATCAGAAGCTACTTTGGTTCTCTTTCATAGAAAAGTAACTAAAATGTCTACCTAAGATCAAGAACAACTTCTCCATTCTTTGTAATTTTTATACATATAGTGATACTTATGGACAATCATGGAAAAAACAATTTGTCTAAAGTAAACCAAGTCATCCCCTGTGGACAACTCAAAACACTGTCCCACCAATCAAAACCCTACACAAGACCAACTCTGCACCCTTAACTTAAAATCCCCACAGGAAATATTTATCTAGTCCCTTCATGGGGTACTATTCATTTCCTAACTCTGCAGCTCCTCCGTAGTGGATTCACAGGGATGCTACAAGATATTTTTTAATTCTAGGGAAAGGACAGTGATATACTGGCTCAACGTCAAAGTGTCAATATCAGATAGTGCTATGTTCCTTTCAATGCTGTTGTGCCTTTTTAAAAGCTGGATTTTTGGCAGCTGCTGTAATAAAAAGCAGAAAATAAGAGTGTCCAATCTCATCTCACAGTTTGGTAAGTTGCATAGTGTCTAACACCTACACATATGTCATTAATAAGTAACCATGGTTATTTATGAACAAAATTTTCTTTCAAACACAAAAACCAAAAAGAAATAACAATTTTGTTAAATAAGTCATTAGAGCAAAACAATTAGTATTTATGTTCTAATTCTTTAGTTGCTATTTGAAAAAACTAATTGTTTATTATACATAAAGCTGAGAAAATAAATCAATGAAACACTAAGGGTGTGGTAAACCAAGAAAGCTTAGAAACTTTGCCCTAGATGGAGCCCACTAACCCAAATAATGATCCATACAATTTCCTTCATCAAATATTTATAAATGCTTATGTGTATATAATATATCTGATCAAATAACTCACCTCTCTGAACCAGAGATCAAGGTATGAAAAGTTCCATATTTCACTGAAAAATTAAAGAGCACTTGACTTTTGTCACTCCAGAATCAACTAGTCAACACACAAATAAAATCTCAAATAATAAAACTTTGAATAATTTCTGCATACTACCTGAATGGGAGCTTTCAATGGTGGTATCTGATTTGGAATCCGAAGATGGAGGAATTTGTCTTAACTGTGGAACATAGTACATCTTCGTACTACCAGAAGGCTTATATGGCAATAACAAAGGCTGACCTAAGGAGGTAAAAATCAGAACAATTAATAAGAAAAACATTTATCAATTCATTGAACAAATATGGAATGCCTTCTATGTGCCAGGCAGTGTTCATGATTTTTGGAATGTATGAGTAAACAAACAGAAATGTATCTCTGCCTTCAAGAAGAATGAGAATTCTGAGGAGGAAAATATAGAGTAAACAATTAACATACTAAATGAGCAAATTATCTAGCATTTTAACAAATTATAAGTGATATAGGGAAAATACAGAAATGCTGAGGGTAATCAGGCATACAGGAGAAATTGGGGTTTGAAATGTGGAGAAAAGAGAGTTTAAATAGAATGGTAGGGATAGGTTTCATTGAGATGACTTTCTAACATTCCATTCCATATATAGATGAATCTAACCAAAAAACATCTTATCTTACATTGAACGCACTGGTCATAATTAACCACGTACACTGGTCTTATTCTGATTCCAGAGAAGCAGAATAGTCTTCTATTCTGGTCTTCTAATAAGACCAGCAGTATACTGGTCTTATTCTGCTTCCAGAGAAGCAGAATAAGTCTAATTTCTCATCTACGTGACAGAGTTTCTGTAAGTCTATTAATTTTCTACTACAAGACTATTTCTACTGCAAGACTATTAATTTTCAATATTAAGAAAATACATAAAAGTAAAAACTACAAGGTCCTACCACTTAAAAATAATTATTATTAACATTTTAATGTATATCATACCCATCTTTTCCTGTTTTTATGTTTACAAAGCTGTCTGCATACAGTATGCATAATTTGAAATTCAGCTTTTCTACTTTATAATATTCATTTTACTTCCTCTTCTTCACACTTCTATGGTTATACCACAGGTTAAATATAGTCAACTCTTACTCTAATGTTGAAATTTTAGGCTGAGTTAAAATGTCCAATTATAAAGAATTCTGAGAATAAAGACTTTCCGGCTTATATTTATTCTCCCCCGTGATCCACCTGAGATAAATTCTCTTTTTCAAAGTGAAAAATTACACCATTTATGAAGTTTTAAAAAAAAGTACTGACGGCTAAATTGCTTACTGTCCGTGACTATTTACTATTCCTCCAACAGCATATGTATAGTCATTAAGAAATGATTAATTGCTAATAGGGGGTAAATGGAATCTCACTTTTAAAATATGCCCTTATTATGGAGGTTTAACTTTTTCCTTATATTAGTTTTTCTTTCATGATTGGTAGAAATTGTCAAATGTCCCCTTGTGTCCAACTTCCCTCCTCCTTACATCTATATACTATGTTATCCAATCTCCCACACAGCCATGTATATACATGTGAATAACTTTGTTCCTACTGTAGGATGAGTGGAGAGTGTGTGCAACTTCCAGGCATTCCGATAAAGGTATCCCATTAAAGCCCTTGACTTCCTGAGTACTGCAAATCATGATAGCTGTAGCACTTACTCTAGACCCAGAAATGGAAGTCACACTTCCAGAGATGGAAGGATGCCAGAGCCACCACACATGCAGCTCAGTTATCTGCTCTAGACTACTTATCTGTAATTTAGGGTTTCTGTGATAAAATAGCTTATACCATAGCCTAAAGTAGTAAGAAATGCAATTCCCAGGAATGTCTTGGTGATGCACTGGATTCAGAGTCATTGGACTTGGGGGGCATGCAACCCAGTAAGACACTAGCCAAAATGGCTAAAGGAGCACTTGGCACCACTCCACACCCAAACCGAGGCAGCACAGCTTGCAGCTTCAGGAGAGATTCCTTCCTTTCAATTTGGGAAGATGGAAGATCAAACAGGCCTTTGTCTTGCAACCTGGATACCAACTCAGCCAAGATATGAAAGAGATGCCAGGCAGAGTCCCGAGGCCTCTATTCCATGTCTTAGCTTCTGGATACCATTTCTAGACACACTCTGGGCCAGAAAGGAACCCGCTGCCTTGCAAGGAAGGACCCAGTCCCAGAGGGATTCATCATCTGCTGACTGAAGAGCACTTGGGTCCTGAATAGTCAGCAGTGGTAGGCAGGCAGTTTTCACTTGGGTGACTCTAGAGGTGTGCTGGCTTCAGGTGTGACCCAGCACATTCCCAAATATGGTGGCTATGAGGAGAGAGGGGCTCCCTTTGCCTGAGAAAAGGAGATGGAAGATTAACTAGGACTTTGTTCTGCAGTTAGGTGCCAGCTCAGCCACAGAGGGGTAGACTACCAAGTAGGCTCCAGGAGTTCCTAATTCCAGGTCTTGGCTTGTGAATGGCATTTCTGGACCTGCCTTGGGCCAGAGGAGAGCCCACTGCCCTGAAGGGAGAGTCCCAGGCCTAGCAACATTCAACCCAAACTGACAAAAAAAACCCTTGTGCCTTAAATGAATTATCAGTGGTAGGCAAGCAGTACTCACCACAAACCTGGGGCAGTGGAGGCCATGGGGAGTGACTTCTCTGTTAATGGAAAAAAGAGGAAAGAATAGGAAGAACTTTGTCTTGTGGCACGGATGCAGCCACAGCAAGATAAAGCACTAAGGTTTCTGACTTCAGGTCATGGTTCCCAGACAGCAATTCTGGACCTGCCTAGGGCCAGGGGATATCTCCACCCTGAAGGGAAGCACAGAAGATTGCCTGGTTTTGCCATCTTTTGATTGTAGAGCCCCAGGGTCTTAAGCAAACATAGGCAGTATCCAGGAAGTGGCTACTGTAGACCTCAGGTGAGACCCAGTGTGTGCTGGCTTCAGGTCTGACGTAGAACAATCCCACTAGTGGCGGCCACAGCCACAGGGGTGCTTGTGTCACCCCTCCCCCAGCTCCAAGCAGCTCAGCACACAGAGAGACTCCATTTCTTTGGGAGAAAGTAAAGGGAGGGAACAAGAGTCTCTACCTAGTAATCCGGAGAATTCCTCTGGATCTTATCAAAGACTTCTGATATGGTTTGTCTCTGAGTCCCCAATCAAATCTCATCTCAAATTGTAATCTCCACATGTCGAGGCAGAGACCTGGTAGGAGATGACTATATTATAGGGGTGGTTCTCCCACACTGTTCTCATGATAGTGAGGGAGTTCTCATGAGATCCTGATGGTTTAAAAGTGGCAGTTTCCCCTGTGCTCTCTCTCTCCTGCTGCCATGTAAGACATGTCTTGTTTCCCCTTCACTTTCTGCCATGACTGTAAGTTTCCTGAGACCTTCCCAGCCATGTGGAACTGTGAGTCAATTAAACCTCTTTTATTTGTAAATTACCCAGTCTCAGGTAGTATCTTTAAAGCAATGTGAAAATGAACTAATAGAAAGCATTGGTACCAGAAGTGTGGTACTACTATAAAGACAATCTGAAAAAGCAGAAACAACTTGGTAACTGGGTAACAGGCAGAGGTTGGAACAGTTCGGAGGGCTGAGAGGAAGACAGGAAGATGTGGGAAGGTCTGGAACATCCTAAAGGCTTACAGAATAGGCTCTGACCAAAATGCTGACAGTAATATGGACAATGAAGTCCAGGTTGAGGTAGTCTCAGATGGAAATGAGAAACTTGTTGGGAACTGGAGTAAAGGTCACTCTTACTATGCATTAGTAAAGAGACTGGCAGCATTTTGCCCCTGCCCTAGAGATCTATGGATCGCTGAACTTGAAAAAGATGATTTACGGCATCTGGCGGGAGAAATTTCTGAACAGCAAAGCATTCAAAAGGTGAGCTGGCTTATTGTGAAAGCATTCAGTCATGTATATTCGCAAAGAGAGAGTTTGAAATTGGAATTTAGGTTTAAAAGGGAAGCAGAACATCAAGGTTTGGAAAATTTGCAGCCTATGTGGTAGAAAAGAAAAACTCATTCAAGGAATTCAAGCTGGCGGCAGAAATCTGTGTAAGTAATGAGGAGTCAAATGTTAATAGCCAAGATAATAGGGAAAGTGTCTCCAGGGCAGTCCAGAGATCTTAACTGGAGTCCCTTCCATCACAGGCCACGAGGACTAAAGGGAAAAATGGTTTTGTGGGCCAGGCCCATGACCTAGCTTCGCTGTGCAGCCTTGGGACTTGGTGCCCTGTGTCCCAGCTGCTCCAGTTCCAACTGTGGCTAAAAGGGAACAAGGTACAGCTCAGGACATTGCTTCAGAGGGTGCAAGCACCAAACATGGGCAGCTTCCACGTGGTGTTGGGCCTACAGGTGCGCAGAGGACAAGAGGTGAGCTTTGGGAGCATACACCTAGATTTCAGAGGATACATGAATGCCTGGATGTCAAGGCAGAAGTCTGCTGCAGGGGCAGAGCCCTCATGGAGAACCTCTACTAGGGTAATGCAGAGTGGTAATGTGGGGTTGGAGCCCCCATTAACAGTTCCTACTTGGGCACTGCCTAGTGGAGTTGTAAGAAGAGGGCCACCATCCTAAAGACCCCAGAATGGTAGATCCACCAAAGGCTTGCATTGTGCACCTGGAAAAGCCACAGGCACTCAATGCCAGCTCATGACATTGTAGTAGCTGTGGGGACTGTATCCTGCAAAGCCACAGGGGTGGAGCTGCCCAAGGCTGTGGGAGCCCATCCCTTGCATCAGCGTGCCCTGGATGTATAACACGGAGTCAAAGGAAATTCTGAAGCTTTGAGATTTAATGATTTAATGACTGCTCAGCCAGGTTTCCAACTGGCATGGGGCCTATAACCCCTTTGTTTTAGCCAACTTCTCTCATTTGGAATAGGAACATTTGCCCAGAGCTTGTACCCTCACTGTATCTTGGAAGTAACTAACTTGTTTTCTTATTTTACAAGTTCATAGGCAGAAGACACCTACCTGCCCTGTCTCAGATAAGATTTTGAACTTGAACTTTTGGGTTAACGCTAGAGGACTCTGAGGGACTGTTGGGAAGGCACGATTGGCTTTCAAATGTGAAAAGGACATGAGATTTGGGAGGGGAGAGGGGAGGAATAATATGGTTTGGCTCTCTGTCCCCACCCAACTCTCATCTCAAATTGTAATCCCCACATGTTGAGGGAGGGAACTGGTGGGAGGTGACCAGAGCATTGAGGGCAGTTTCTCTCATGC